TATGTTAGTAAATTAGCTTAACCTATGTTAGTCTTAAATTATTACACATTATTTATTTTAAAGTTTACTTTTGAACCCAAATTATCTTTTAATACCTTTTATTAAATATATTTGAATACCTTTTAAAGCCAAAATATCTGGAAGAAATCAGTTTCAGAGTGATAAGACAGCCTGTTGTACATATTCTGCTATAAAATTTTGTACTTTTGTATTTGTTTTTTTTTTTTGTAATTTTGTACTATTGGGTTTTGGTGTACACTGTACAATATAGAGTAAATAAATAAATAAATATCTTGAATATTTACTAACTCTAAATTGTTTATTGTTGATTTTAGGAAGGCAGATTGAGGGCCACTGGATCCTCGGCCTCATTGAGGATGGAAGTGAGGATTTACGACTAGAGGTGTGCCCTGAAAACATCAGGTCAGCGGACATACTAGTGCCCCTAATTAAAAAACATGTGGTTGAGGGCACCACAATCCATACCGACTTCTGGAGGGCTTATGATTGTTTGGGGCAACATGGGTACATTCACAAGAAGGTGAACCATTCAGATCCTGAGAACCCATTTGTTGCCCCTGATGGCACTCATACTCAAAGAATCGAATCGCAATGGCGGGTGGTTAAAAGATTTTTCAGTAAATACAATTATAACCACCCGGAAAACTTTTCAGACATTATTATAGAATATTTGTGGAGAAGGTCAGTGCAAAGAAAAAAAAAGGATCCTTTTATGGAACTAATTAAAGTAATTAACTATGTATATAAATAAATGTTTTTATAATATTATATTCGCTCATTTCTTTTGATCAAACCCTAGTACCAGAAGGTATATATCACAAAACCGAATCTGTCAACCCCAACTTCCACGTGGTCTTTCCGCTCTTACCCCTAGAGTGTATATGAAAATCCGGAAGTGCGGAGGGAATGCAGCCCTCGCCCGCTGTAACTAAGCGCAGGCAGCGTACGAGCCGTAGCGGCTGAGGCTGGTCGCCGAAGGCGACCAAACAGCCGAAGCTGCGCAGGTGAGCTAAGTGCCTGTGCTTAGTTACGCAAGGGCGAAAGGGCTGCACTTCCCGCAGCGCTGGAGCAGAAGCAGAGTCAAAATAGTGTTAATTCCCACCGTTTTTCCCACCCTAAATACTGCCACATTCCCACCGGGACCCGAATGTGAGTTTTTCGTCGCCGGACGCCCTTTTTTTATTAAACGAAAGCGAATTTTCCTTAAATGTAACAAAACTTTAAAAATTCATAAAAAAAAAAGGGGGGGTTTCCGGCACTTTTTCCTTTCAGGGGGAGGTTCCTCCCCCTCCCCCCCCACTCGGCGACCGTATATTCATGCAGCAGATTACTAAAGAAAACCCGAGGACATGTTCAGCAGTGGACTTGTGAAGGGCTGTAATGATGATGATGATGATGATGATGAACAGGTTAATCTATAATAAGATCATAAGATTCCCTTTGTAAATATGTTGTGTTGTTACTATAAATGGTATGCAACTACTATAATTAACATCAATTCTGATGTGGGCAACCATGTTTTCCTGCGCACTACGTCATTCGGAGGCTTTGAATGGCCAGCCGAAAGATTCCATTTTTTTAATTATATCACTTTTAACTTTGAAATTATCGTTTAATATTTACCGTCACATTCTTCCCCGGAATCTTAATCGCCCTTTCTTAACGCTAATATCCATTTGTAGCGGGATTTGTATTTCTGCAATAAGCTCAAAATACGCCATCATTTAATAATGAAATTCTGGGTAGAGCTCATATCAACGTCTTCGTTATCTAAAAAAATATATTAACGGGTGATTGAACTACGTGAAATACCAAATTGTTTAGATTTTCACTAATTTAAGTTTTATTTTGAAGACTGGCCACAGCATAGATAAATAAATATGTAGCAAGCTAGGCCACAGAGTACATTATATAAGACTGGCGTTGGCAATTAGGAGTGGTCGTTACAAAACGTAACTAGTTACTGAAACTATCTATTCACACAATAGCGGGTAGCGGGTTATTGCAGTGCAACGAAACTATCTATTACAGTAGATTTTTAACTCAGTAACACGATTCACGTTTCACGAATCACGAACGAGCGATCACTAACAATAACAAATTATTCTCTAGTATATAGGCAGTAATCTATGCGTTTATTCGGCTATTTTCGCGACGCATTGGTGACGGCTTCGGCCGTTGAAGTAGAAGCACATGAGTAAAGAAACCGAATCTTTACGCTGTGGTAGAAGTACCACCGGTCGTCGAATATCGAGTGAGCGCGGGTGCTTTTGCATTTGACCTTTAACTCTATTCCCTTCGTATAGATGCGATATTAGAAATGAGAAAGTAAGTGTGCATGTTTTTAACAAAAAATAGTTCAAATTCCATTATTTAAGTGACCTTGGCCCGGTTTAAAGTAGTCTTGTGTTTAAGTTTATTGACACGGTTTGTTTTTACTTTTTTAGGCGCGTTTTTTAATATTTTTGTTTTCTTTTTGTGAAATAATAATAATATTTTTATTAAAATAAGAACTAAATACAATTGTAGGTATATACTAGTGTTAATAATAAAAATTGTACAGTAATTAGTGTAAGTAACCTTGTGTAAAATTAATACTAAAACTTTATGTGATAGTTATCAAAAATATCTCGAAGTAATGCCAGTGTACTTTGGGACTTTTTTACAAAAGATACTACAACCATGAAGGCCAATATTCATTCAATATAAATCAAATGAATACATGTATTGATGTTTTTATAAAACATCAATACATGTATTCATTTGATTTACTACATAAAAATGTAGGCTTGAGATGTCTAAAAATAAGCATTGTAATAATTATTGGCTGTAAAATCAAACATATATTCAATATTTTATGCTGAACTTGTGGGTGAATTTATCATAATCATAATTATTAAATAAATCGTTTGCCGTTAAATCTTTTCAAGTGATATTTTTATCAAAACGTGTGAAATGATTAAAAAAATAAATAAATTTAATCATTAACACCATGTCTAATTCTATACGAAACGGTAACAAACAAGTTTTCTCGTGAAACGGACATCGTTTCATTCGCAACATTTTTCAATTATACACGTCGTGAAACACTATTGAAGCTGCTATTAAAATAGAGTGTTTCAAAACCCTCTATTAAAATAGAGTGTTTCAAAAGCCGCTATTGATATTCAATAGATAGTTACGTTTCGTTACTCAAAAAAGCCGCTACTACCCACCGCTATTGGCAATGGCGTGTCAAAAATTTTGTTTTATTTTATTTAACTGGCTTTGCGGCTCTGGGTTCTAGCCCTTCAGAGCCTATCATGCTGTCGTCAGCAACTGTTCGCTGGGTTGAGCTGTCGTCAAAATCTCCCAAGGGCTTTGCAATGTGACGCATCAGCATATTGTGATGAAAAAGAATATAAAAATGAAGATTTCGAAAGAAATAATTGGCTCATAAGGGCTAGAACCCAGAGCCGTAAAGCCAGTTAATAAAAAAAACTTATCTATGATCTATGCGTTGTAAATTATAACTATAATACATAGTCACAGAGTTAGTTAGCGAATCCTTTAAATAATAGGCAAACACATATCGATCTTTTTATATGGCTTTGTTTGCTGGTCCAAAACTAAAATTTACATTGCAATACACAACAAAAAATTTTTTGAAAGACGTCATCAGAAAAATTCCTGACTATATAAATTTTCCATCGGTTTTAGAGTCTTGCGGAATATTTAGGAGACGATGGCAAGAGACCCGATGGTATGACTTTGGTCTCTTGGAGGAGAGATACAGCCCTAGTGCGGGATGCTACTTGCGTAGATTATTTAGCGGCCTCTCATTTCAGGGGTACCTCGTTTAGAGCCGTGACGGCATTAGATGCAGCCGAATTAAGTAAATGGCGCAAATACGAGTCTCCGAGAGATGACTACATTTTTGCGCCATTTGCTGTAGAGACCATAGAATACTATAATACATATATAATAGAACGGGGGAGTGGGCGGAGCCCGTGAAGCCACTAACACGTCAATTCACACCTATAAATGTCAACACATCTCTTTTGATGTTACAATCGTTTCCAATTTTCGTGTCAAGCGTCGCTGCAAGCAAATTCTTTTAAAAATACCAAATTTCACACTATTTACAAAGATTTTTAATGATGATATTGAACATTAATCAAAATTCTAAAACATGTACATTTACTCAGTCTGTCAACACAGCGAATCGGGTTTGTAGTAGTGATGATACGACGTAAGATTGTTTATATGTGTGCTCCCGGCGACGCCGATCCTCGTAGAAAATAAGGTTCACAGCCATTCTATTGTGTATTATAGTATTCCGTAGTAGAGTCTATCGGCCCGTGGGGTCCACGTACGGTGAAGTTCCTAAAGGAACTCTATCCGTGACTGGTTGTTACTGCTGGTGATAAGAGATAAGCAAAATATAGCCATTCAGCGAGGAAACGCAGCCAGAGGTACCACAGGATCTTGGCACGATACCACGGGAAGTAGGACTGTATGATAATTATTTTATTAGTTTTAGTTTTTTTTTAATATTGTACATATTTCAACGTTATGTAAAAAAGTAATAAATACATAATTATTGTAAATAATTTGATCAACGAAGTTTAACATAATATTAGTAATCTGCGTATGTGTATGAAGGGGAAGGAGGGCCATCTCTGTGTGTGAAAAAGTGTCCGTCGAGAAGCGTCTAATCAGAGTGGCACTTAGGTAGCAAGAGGGTTTTAAAGATAGCGCCAAAAATCATCTATCAAGATATAAAAGTGAAAAATTGTTAATGCAATAAATAATACTTCATATAAATTTCGTACAGGCCCATAAGTCTGCTACCCATCCCATCCAAAATATATGAATCCCTACTGCTACAACGAATCTTGCCTATACTCAAAGAGAAGGAGCTAATCCCTGACCAACAGTTTGGATTCTGCTGTAAGCATGCCACTACCAATCAAGTGCACAGGTTAACAAAATACAACATGGAGTCACTGGAAGGTAAATCTTACTGCGCCAGTACGTTTCTGGACACATGTCAAGCGTTTGATCGCGTGTGGCATGAGGGATTGTTATTCAAGTTGAAAAATGCACTACCAGATCACCTTTACGGGATATTAAAATCATTTCTCCAGCAGCGCCATTTCATAGTACAACAAGGGGAAGCTCTGTCAGATCTCTGCGCTATTAAAGCTGGAGTCCCGCAGGGCCGCGTACTGGGTCCCATACTTTATTTACTTTTCACTGCGGACCTGCCGACATCTGAATCCTTAATCACTGGAACCTTCGCTGATGACACCGTTAGAGTGGCTACTCGTAGCGACCCAAAAATAGCCTCACAAATACTTCAAAAAGGGCTAAATTACATATACCACTGGCTCAAAAAGTGGCGGATAAAAGCAAATGAAACAAAATCAGTCAACGTTACGTTCACCCTAAGAAGGGGCTCTTGCCCCCCAGTCACACTTAACAACATTGTTCCACAGGCAGATTATGTGAGATACCTTGGATTGTACTTGGACAAAAGACTTACCTGTCAAAAACATATTTTCACTAAGAGGAAGCAACTCGGTATTCAAACGCGAAAACTCTACTGGCTCATAGGGCGAAAGTCTCAATTGTCTCTAGAAAACAAAATACTTCTGTACAAGGCAATACAGAAACCTATCTGGACGTATGGGGTCCAACTGTGGGGTACTGCATCCCATTCAAACATCGAAATCGTACAAAGGTTTCAAAATAAAGCACTCCGAATGATAACCAATGCCCCCTGATATGTGCTCAACGAATTACTACATCATGATCTACGCCTGCCTACTGTGAAACAGGAAATCATACGTCATACTAGAACTTACAAAGAGCGCATCGAACGTCATCCAAATACTCTGGCCCGGCCACTCATGGCAAACCACAACAAAGCGCGACGCGTAAAGCGCAAGATACCCCAAGATTTAATACAAACACAAACACAGTAAACGCAGTTACTATCTAATGATGAGGATGTGACACAGGTCACATACCGAGCACGCCAGCGATAGCACTAACAAACATACTGCTAAATGTCCCTCAAAGGCGACAGATTGTTGTAAATAAAGGAAACATAAAAAATATATAAATTTATTTTACCTACCGTTGCTCGAAAACGGTGGCTGGAACATATCATTTTCTTTATTTTTTAAATTTCTCCCAATTGGACAGCTTTTCACTTTACAAACTTTTCTCATTATTGTTCTATTGTTTTTTAAGCTTTACAACATTATAGACATTAAAATCACGAAAAAGTATTATTAAAATCTTATAAAAATGAAATCAATCTATCCGTTATCTAAGCACATAGATTATATTTACTAAATTATTTTGAACTACACTAATCACCAGAGATAATATTAAATTTTTCAACTCAGTACACTTCATTCCGTTTACAACTGCTAAATTCATACAATTTCCTCTTGTCACGCTTGCGCTATTTTGGTGGGTTCCTGAACTATAATTTGCTGCTTACAGCTGGACACTTTTTCGTCTTGTTCCCCACAAAAGATGGATGCATTTATTCATAACATATCAATACAGCCTATCATAAGCCCACTGCTGAACAGATGTGTCCCTCATATATTGCCTGATAGGGCAATTTTTTGCTAAAGTTGCCGGGTGGGCAATCGCTTTTTTATAGCTGTTATCAGAAAGCTTCAAGGTTTCTTAGAACACCCTAGTATCTTATACTAAATGATTCTTTCATGACATAAGTGTTAACGAAATATGATTTATATTCCACTTCGCAAATGTATATTTAAACATAAATAACTCCCAGGAAGTATTGTTTATGATCTACATAATGTATTAAAATAATGTTCTACATAAACATAAAAAAAACATAACATAAACGCTCACGCCTGTCACCCAGAGGGGTAGGCAGAGACTACGGACTTCAATTTGGCACGATCCTGACATACCTCTTTCGCCTCCTTTACATCCATATATCTAGGCATACATGCTCGTCGGTTAAGGGTACTTCTAACGTGGCCCATTTTCAAAATATCGCCAATTTGGTCGATAAACTTTTTTCTAGGGCGTCCCTTCCCGACTCGGCCGTTCACATCTGCCATATAAATTTGCTTTGTCACTCTTTCCTCATTCATTCTTTCTATGTGACCAAACGTAGAAAGAATGAATGAGGAAAGAAAATAAAAATCTAGCAGCATTTTTATAATAGTGTAGAACATTCTAAAAAATAATAGAATGTTCTACACTATTATAAAAATGCTGCTAGATTCGTCTGCTCGTGAACAGGAGTGCAGTCACTTCTCTGTTCAAATAAAAGTATGCAATAAATCTTTTTCTAGCTCTATGACTTACAAAATCTCGTAGGACAAGATGGATTTTAATGAAATCCCTTTCATTCAAATAGGACAATTTTGTAATTAACTTATGAAGTCGTGTAGTTTTATATTAATTGGCATAAATACAGTCACAGAGTACCAGTGTTGTCATTTACACGGATATTGCCGTGTTACACGGCAATTTGGGTCTATTCAGTAATAAAACACGGTACACGTCAGCATATTAATTGCCGTGTTCTAAAACACGGCAATCCAATGGTTACTAATTTTTTCCGAAAATTTTATCGGTAGTCGATAAGTCATTGTAACCCATATCACTAGACTACACTAGACGTAGTAATGACTCTATCAGCGGGGAAATCCCGACGCGAATTTTACATACATTCGCGCACATCATTGTTTACGGTATTAATTTCATTCTTTCGTCTTTTGAAAATTACATTAAAAAGATATACTGCTGTTTATTTACTTTATTTAATTTTAATAGCTAATAAATATAAAGTGAACAAAGACGAAGAAGTTTCGGATATGGTAAGAAATTTGTATCATGACTCCGAAGAGTAATGTTTTTATGTCATGTTTAATTTTACGTGTTAATTTAAAATAAATAAAAAATTAAATGTACACGGCAACTTTATGGTTTTTATTCCAAAAACACGGCAATCCGGATCCCAAAACACGGCAACTTAAAATTGCGAAATGGCAACCCTGCAGAGTACTTTCTAATCGTAGACAGAGAAACCTATAGACAAATTGACGCCTTCTTTTGCATTCGCACACGAAAAAGATAGATTTATGCATACGTCTTGCATAGAAATGAGATAGAGTTGTGTGATTGTTTATCCCTTTCTCCGTGCCGGTTTTTTTATTTAGCAAACTACACTTTGCTAAACTAAACAACTTTGACAGTTCGTAGCGATCTAAGGAGTTTACAAGTTGGTTTAAGTGAAAAAAAGTGTATTGTGAGCTTAAGATTGGTGAATCTTGTTCAGTTCAGTTCTTAGAACATTTAAAAATGTTATCTAAATATGTTTAAAAGACATAAAGATTATTGTATAACCTAAAACTACGTTATCGTTCTTTCTCACTCGAGGCCACGCTAATCATTAGTCTATAGTTTCTCTGTCTACCGTAGACAGAGAAACCTATAGACAAATTGACACCTTCTTTCGCATTCCCACACGAAAAAGATAGATTTATGCATACGTCTTGCATAGAAATGAGATAGAGCGGTGTGATTGTTTGTCCCTTTCTCCGTGCCTGTTTTTTGTTTAGCAAAGTCTACAGTTTGCGAAACAACTTAAACAGCGTAGCGATTTAAGGAGTTTACAAGTTGGTTTAAGTGAGAAAAAAGTGTTTTGTGAGCTTAAGATTGGTGAATCTTGTTCAGTTCAGTTCTTAGAACAATTAATTTATTTATCTAAATGTGTTTAAAAGTCATAAAGATTATTGTATAACCTAAAAATTCGTTATCGTTCTTTCTCACTCGAGGCCACGCCGATCATTAGTCTATAGGTTTCTCTGTCTACGCTGTCTACGGAGTTTTCTAACTCTATTGGTTGGGTTACCATAATATTCAACTTAAAACAGAACGAAGAAAAATAAGTGACTACAATAGATTTTATAGAGATTTTATAGATACCGCGTTACACACATCATTGCATGATTCTATTATTTATGGTTACCTAATTTATTTTTTCACAACGTAATTACTTAGTACGGCAGACATACAACTGTATTATATAATATGTATATATAAAATATGTATGACCGAAAATAATAAATTAATTATATGTTCGTTTGTTGCAAATGTTTGAGTTTTAATACGTTGTTTGTCTTAATTAATGTGTTCAATTTTGCTATATAATTTTTTTTATGTATAGTGTATATTTTATACTTGGTAGAGCCACGCTGCAGCTGTATTATGGTTGCAGCGCGAATGAGTCAGCTCGACCGGTGAAGGACCACGCTCTCACATAATACCAGCCTAAATTACCAGCCTAATACTGCTGTGCTTCGTATGGTGAGTGTAGAAATCCGGAGACTCTTTTTAGTGGAAACGAGGCATTCCATCTTAGTCCTCAGGCGTGACAACGCATCTGCGTTTTGATTCTTAAGCGAGTATAAATGTAGATGTCTATGGGCAACAGCATCCAATTACCATCGGCGTACTGTGTGCTCGTTTGTCACCCTTATTCTATAAAAATATTTTTATTTAATAACGGTAATCAAACTTTATCAGCTTTTCACGTTAGTAGTTATTCCTTGTTTTTCAAAAGAAGCAATGATGATGATCAAATATTCTAGTTTGGTTTATTATATTATACAAATTTTATACAGATTTTAAGTTTAAATAGCATACAGATTTAATACAGATTTTAGCAGTTTCTAATACAGATAAAAGGTTCAAGGCATCTGGCAACACTGGTACCACACAGCACAGATACCACACAGTACATAGCGTACATAGTACATAGTGTTCTGCACAGATCACTATATACGTGTTCTGCATAGAGGAAAGTAAGTGTTCTGTTCTGCAGTGTTCTGGTTCTGTTGAGATGAATTGTTTTCATTATAGATTATTTTAAAATTTTTATTATTTAATGCGTTCACATGGACTTTGTCTGCTCTTGAATGTCTCAACAATCTTGTTGTGTGTTTACCTGCACACTTACACTTGAAATGGTAAGTAAAACTTCTAATGTTTTGTAAAACGTAAAAGTAAATTGTAAAGGTACAGTTGAAAGCAACTGCTTATATCTTCTACTTTTAACCGTGGCTAAGCTTTCCATTGACGTCCGTCGAGTTGGGGGTTAATATTTTTTTTTTACAGAAAGGTTACATTAATATAAGCACACACGTAAAGTTTCAACATGCGGAAAAGTGTACTTTTTGAGAAAAAATTATTGAAAATCAATTATTTTTATAATATTTACGTCAATCCTTACCACGGATTACATCGAATTCTCGCCATTGAAAGTTCGTTTTCCGTACGGTTAAGTTGTCATACGTTCGGTAGCATTGTATTGTACATTCTACGTAAATAATTATATTTTGTACTCATTTAAATAGTTTTCATGCATACACATATATTTAACAGTTTATATTTAAATTACCGTTTAATTAGTGTTTACCGTTTTTTGCCGGCTTGTGGGACGTAACGTAAAACTGACGATTTCTAAGAATTAATTAAAGCAATATGTGTATAAAATTGTATAAAACATGTGTATAAAACAGTACACACCTATTAGGACAGATAACAAATAAAATAGGTTACGTTTAACTTATGTCAAGGAACCGAATCAATAGACCCCGACTCCACATGGTACGAGTTTTTCCTACCCCTAGAGTGTTTTTATAGAGCCGGAGGCGCGTAGGGAGAGCAGCCTCCGCCTGCTGTAAACTCTCGCCTGCTGTAAAGCCTCGCCTCCGCAGCT